TTGCCACTGCATACAATACCCAGGATCTTATTCAAGAACTTTATTTTTAAAATTGAATCCAGCGATCTCATTGATGAAGAAGGGGGCACTTAATGTGGTAGGATATATATTATTTTTGGAGGATACTGTATGCAGTGGCTAATGGTATTACGAAGTAAAAACTTATATTTTTAGTAAAGAAACGTTATGTTCTCAAAAGGGTATTTGAAGTATGTAATAAAGTTACCCAGGCGATTGATTAATATCCATCTATAAGTGAATAGTAAAGTTTAGAATCTGTATTTTTTGGTTAATAAAGCTAGGGTTTGTTGGACTTAAACGCGAAAACTTTTACACTATAATATAACCATCGACTTAACTTCAAATGTTACTACGATATAGACTGCTGACTTGATACGTAGCTCAATCACAAATCAATCATAATTTAAGCTACAAGTTGTACGCTAACGGTTTAGGGGATAGTGACAAAATTATGATTTAATACATTACCTAATTATCGCTATTTTTTTGTCCAAGTTATGCGAAGAAAGCGACCTAAATTTCATTTCAATTAAATTATATTTCTTGTTCTCATGATTGACGAATTTTTCGGATAAAATCAATAATTCATGGCCATGGGTAATCGAAGTGAAAAAATCATAATGTTTAATCGATAGAAAAACACACCTTTTGTTAAAATTACATACAGTACATACAATGCTTTTCAAATAATAATAAAATTACATAAATTACATAAAAATTACATAAAAAAATTACATCAAAAAAATTACATAAAAAATTACAAAAGTGAAACTTAAAAGGGTATGTAAAAAAAGAAAAAAAAATGTACATTTACAATAAAAGCTTAGAGGTAATGAATACCAATAAGACATTGATCTAATTTAGATCAGTTTTTTCACACGATATTTTTTTCATTGCCCAAAAACGATGACTTTTGTCAAATGATTTATTATTATCCAAGTCCTTTATCGCAAGATCAACTAATGTTTTATAATCACCTTCTTGGAATTGTATATCGGTAATAGCATCTGAAAGGTTTTTAGCACCCCACGTTATAATTTGCGCGTAAGCTTGACCTAAGAATTTGTGAAGAATTATCCTAGTTAATATATAAATTATTTAAGAAGAAAGTAAATATTTATATTTACCCAAAACACCCCCCCACTCGCCCAAGGGTTCGACCCTTTCATCTTTTGAAATATTAGTTAATGACTTATTTGCAGCAAGATAATTAGGTATGTGCGGGCTTATTATAAGGTCAATTCCTTTTTCTGCTTTTAATCCATCAACAACTAAAAGAAATATGAAAAAAAATCCATTTAACATATATATACATTTTAACAACTTTAAATACATAATCAAAAATAACTTAAGAAATTTACTCTTTGTTCTCCAATTTTTTACAATGTCACTCTCATTGTACCAAAGGATATCTCTGGAAAAGATGATTTTTTTTTAGTTAAAAAGAGTAATAATACGATAGATTAAGATCACATGAAATTCGCTGCTAACGTAAATAAATTTATTTACCTTTCCATTAATTCGATCCAGCCTCCTGGTTTTGTCACCCTAATCATTTCCTAATAGTTTCAAATCATTCATCAGAAATTACGGAAATTATAAATTTTATACGATAACTCTGAATATATATATATATTTATGTACCTTAATAGCACGTGTCCAATCTTTTGCCATTATTGCAAACATCATAAATCTCATCTAAACAAATAAAACTGATTAAATAAAAATTTATAATCATAACATATATAATCACGAAAAATTTACACCTACATATACAAAATCAAATCTGCATATCGATATATTGAGATATAGCAAGATATAATAAGAAATTTGAACAGAAAAAGGATTAGCCTTAATTTCGAAGCAAATCAAAACATTGAAACAAATGAGATAATTACGTGTTATCAGCAAAAGGTAGCCCTTCAATAACATCACCATTCACGAATGTGGTATTTCCGGGTTTAATCTGAATAGGATAATTGGCGACTATATCACATCCCGTAAAATGCGACCTTGGATATTTACTAGATTTAAATGTAGGACAAAAAGGAAGAAATGAATATAAACAATGAATGTCCTGATCAAACGAAATATTTGATTCGAATAGTAAACTAACCTGGCAAGTTCAAGAACAAGAACTCCCGGACCACATCTAATTAATATCAAATACGTAAGTTAAAACAATCAAACAAGTTAGAATATTTGAGAAAGTTAGAACAATTATGAAAAGAATATCACCAGAGTAGTGCTTGTATTCAAATATATTATTTTCATAAATATATTTGAATATATAAAGATTTATGAATATTCATAATTATATTTTTATAAATATTAGCATATATTATGTTAGACGTGAAGTTTGACTGGCCGAAAATCGGCCAATCAAAATTTCATATTCATAATTATTATGAATATTCATAAATATATTCAAATATTCGAATATATGTTTAGATTTTTATAAATATAAGCATTACATCGGAGGAATCACTAATATGACAATTACCCTATGTCCAACATTTTCGCACCACGTTCTAGCATATCATCGACGGGTGAGGAAAAATTACTTTGCCAAATATTTTGAAAAAGATAATGTTGTAAGGTCATTCTATCAACTTCATCGTCATCCAAAGGAAGTATATAGGAAGCAGAATATTTTCTCATTGGCATATAATTCTGTATAAGTTGATCTTTTTTAATATCAGACTTTGTCAAGGCCTTATCTTTCTTGCCTCGAAAGTGTTTAGAAGGTTTAGAATAAACTTTTCCCATGATAATAAATTCTTGAAATTGTAATTGACGGTTTACGATTATTTTAGATTTTAATTAGATTTTAATATGTTTGAACTGATGTGACTTTTCATACAAATGAAAAAAAGGGCATCCCAAATACACCGCCTACTTATAAGAATTTTACGGATTCAAAGATATTCATAGAATGCAGATTATCACACACTTTTAACCTTTGACGTAACGATCACACATGAGTTCCGTAAAATTGAAAGGAATAAGCTTAAAATAGTTATTATATATAACAGAAGTTGCACATGCCTGGTGTTATAACTTCAGGCGCTTGAAGTTGGACTGGCCAAAATTAAGCCCCTGAAATTAGATCTTCAAGTATTTGCATTTAATTAATAAATTTCGGGTAAGTGCTCGACGTATATCTCTGTTACCCGCAAATCTACAATTTTTTCCCGATTTTAGTCAGTTTTTCCTGATTTTTATGGGACAACTCAAACTCCCAAAATAGAGTTCGGTATTAAGCAATAATAACCTACGTACTATACCTATAGCCAAATTATCAGCTAGGCATTTTTTTTTAGTGAACGAACGGTGACCTCAATAGTAAACTTCTTGAGTGATTTTAGGCAAAGTTGTTAATTTCAACCTGTCGATCACTATTCCGACCCAGGAATTGCTGAATTGGAGGATCTTCTTTCTTTTATAAATCATAACTACAATATGACAAAGTTAAAGATTCACATGTATGTAAACAGTGAATAAATTTACAATATTGCCCCACAATTGTAATTACTAAAATAAGGAGGATGATCTTTTAAAAATAAATCTGGAAAGCATGAAAATTAACGGTAAAATGATTTAAATACTTGTAATCCCTAACCAAAACAATGATTTATATAATTCTTTAATGAAAAAAAAAAATGGAGAATGAACATGGAGAGCTTGGAGAATAAACGCGGGGAGCATATATTCAATAGTAAGGGGTACGGATACTTTAATTTTTATTCAAAAAAAATTTCCATAATTTAAAGTGTATTGGATTAACTTACATTTAAGCTAAATATAAGATAAGTCTCCGATGACCAGGGTTTGGGAATTCAAGATAATGCTTTTTTTATGTAATATACGTATTAACATGTGTAAATAACAAAGAAAATCATTGACGCAATCACGCTTGAATTATATATATAGCACGTGCTGATCATAATTATTAAGGTTAATCTTTACCAATCATATTCAATTTCATGGGCTAAGCGAAAATTATCAACAAACACTTTTAATACAAAGATTTAAAGTTTAGCTGGGTAGCAACAAAGAGGTTTGATATTCATCTTTGGTTATCTATTAGCATCTGTTAAAAATAAATTTAGAAAATCATGTTATACTAATATATAAAATAATAAGCATAACATCTTTCTTTGATTTCCACACATATATCGATCTAGAAAGGTTATCGTTATTGTATATACTTACTGTAAAAGAGCAAATTATGCAGTTGGGCGTTTTGTAACAACGTCTTTCATCCCTTTCGTGATCCCTTTTAAATCAACAGCAAGTTCTTGTGAAGTAATACCGATGAAATTCTTTATAGTTTAGAATAGAATGTTATAATATATATATATATATATGTAAATAAATATATATATATATATTTATATTTATATTTATATTAATGTTAATCTTTTATAGTATATCGATATAAAATAAAATAATAAAATAAATATATATACAATAATACATCGATAAATCAAGAGTGATGAGCTTACTTGTACAGAACCACTGATTTTAAATCCGAGCCAAGCCAAAGTCATAAACGTTACACATACGAAAGCGATCAGAATAAGAATAGCGACCACAGGCAGGAAAACAATTAAACCCACGATTGTAAAGAGGCCTTGAGAGATCACGATACCAACACCAGCTAGAGCAAACACAAATGCAATAGTTAAAAGAATCCATCCCGCAAAAATAGTGAGAGGGATCGCGTTAAAAGAGAGGATAGTATAGATAAACCAACGAAAAGGTGGGAAATTGATCCTATTCAAAATATATAACTTGCTTAAATTAAATGATTTAAAACTTTGGTGTACTTTAATAAAAATACACGAACCAGAAAGACTTGAATGTATGATAGATCGGTCCTATTGCGACTTGAATGAAATGAAATGTTTGGATATAAAGTGATAGAATAATACCATGCACTCGACTTCTGACATGCCCCATTGCTTCAGATATACGCATAGATTTTTCCCTGATAGTTTCCGCAACCGGTTCTAATTTTTGTTCGGTCATTCGTTCGATTTCATCGGCCGAATGATGAAGAATTGGTCCTTTTAGTGACATTATTTGAAGGAGAAAGAGTTGATATACTAGTGTACTACGAATTAAAAAAAGAGAATCAGGTAGAAGGATACTTTTTATATACACATTATGAAAACTAATTTATCACCAAACATTTTGCTACGTTTTATACTGAATCAAATGAAATTTTTACGTATTTGTTTCGTCATGGTTGTGAAGCTTAATTAACGTACGGTACTTACGAATGTATATGAGATGATTATATTAAGTCATGTGATGTTGAAACTGATATAATGAATTCGATGAATCTCATCGATATAGTGAATTTTTGCTAAAATAACCCGTGATCTTGATATAGTGAGATCTTGATATAATGATCAGGGCATTTACTAAATAAAACACTTGAAATATTAACACTTCGATATAATGTGAGTTGGGTTTATTTTGAGCCTACTATGTGTTGAATAGTTTTCCGGTTAGGGGTGTAAAGCTCAGCTTTCGCTATGATGCTATGATTTACCACTCGCCTGGCTTACTACGGCGACCATAGTATCTTCCACCAAAAGGAATACCGCAAAACACACAGTTATGACTCAAGCGTTTCTTTATTACTAATTCTAATCTGAAAACAACAACTACACTAAAGATTATTGTTCTATATATTACAAGATCAATCACGCGTACGTTACACAAACCAGGAACCTAGCGCTACGAAATCCAGGGTAACGATTTAACCCATGTCACTATGGCGATAGGTTTAAAAAATAGATTGGAACTTGTAAAACGATATAAATAGTTATAGATATTAACGTTAACGTTAATCATTGAATAACTCAGTAATTCTAAATTCTTCAATCTTGAAAATGCTATCAATTTAGAATATGTGGCATTGTCAAAAGATTTAACTTGTTATATCAATACAGTTATATCAATACAGCATGCCCATTTGCTAAAGTGCTGGCATGTTGTCTATTGTAAATCACAAAATATATAAATTATTTAATTTTGGTAGGATAGTTTTCCTCAAACTTTTCTAAAATATAGAACATCGCATTTAATTAAACCAATTATATTTATACATGTTTAGAATTATTATATTAAAAATTTAAAGAATTTTTGGGTAATAACTGTTTGATAGCAAATAGCTTTTGATTTATTGGTTGATTTTAAGTAGTTTCAAACCCATTAAAACTATCTTGTCAAGATAGCTATTTTGTATTAATAGAACTTGTTACGTATCTTTTAATGATTTGCAAGTGGAT